AGGTTACTTTGAATGTTTAGGAAACGTGGAGAAAGATGAGATGAGGTTAAATGAATCAACCAAACCTAAACAAAATTTCTTACAAAACACTTTTAAAGGGAGGTGCGATTTTAAATCCAAAATTGAGACTACAAGCTACTTCTTGATTCATATTTTAAAATATGCTATCTGCTCTTGAAACAACATGGCTGGTTACAAAGGAATAAAGATTGTTGCAGAAAAAACAAAATGCAGAAAAATGAAGCAAAAAGCAATAAAGTGAGTTAAACCAAACGCTGCAAACGTCAACAGCTGAGCTGCTTTCAAGAATCAGCAGGTAAAAGCAATACAAAGAACAAACGATAAAGGTCTAAGAAAAATGCCAGAAGGAAATACACAAAAATTACGTAAAATTTTGTGAATGTGAAATGAAAAAAATTTGACACCACACAACAACAATGACACTTCCACAGATAGGGCAAATATGTTCGTTTAAAAAGGTGCCGAAATTTTTAAGTTAACATACTTACTTTTTCAATTTAAGTATCATGCCATATTCCCCCACACATGCCGAACCGTTGTCGCTCTCTTTTCTCTAATAATGTTTGCATGGTGTAAATATTAAATTTCACGTGCTACGGGCAATTGTTACAGAGCTGCATATGCTCATCAGTAAATTTTTGTATATGAAATACGAACACACACACAATATCAAACTTTCATATGTAAATATATTTATATACGCATGCATTTCGAGGTTCTTGAGCCGTTAAGGGATGAAACCAGCGCTAATGTGTTGCCTCTTCTGCTGCCTTTGTTCTTCCTGGCTTTGTGCGCCGCCAAACAGGCGATTTCATTCATTTCTGATTGCGAGCAAAGCAGCAGGTAACTATGACAGGCACACACACACTCATACTACACACTTACATGTGGCAAGACAGGTAGTTTTTTGTAGTTATGCGATGTTTGATGTTCTCGAATCAAACTTGTTGAATTTTTCATGCGGGTCTATAGTGCTTGTGTGTATGTGTGGACTTGACTCAGCGGAATTGAGGTCAAATATGAGGATTTGCTGCTTTTAGCTTGGTGTTGCGCAATGAATACTTAGTAATGGGAATACTGTTTGACACACAATGGCAAGGAAAATGGGTATTAAGTTTCTGATTAGTGACTCTTGTTTGCGAGTAGGTGACTGCGCTAGTATTGGTGCGAATATGGAGGAATTCATGGTTTTGTTTTGTTTCGCAATAAAAGACTATAGTGCTGATAATGAGGTTAATCCTACGCATTAGAGGATTTCGTTGTTTCCAAGCGGCTTTGTTGGATGTATAATATATTATGCACATGGACAACGGAAGAAGTGAATGACAGGACCTCGCAGAATTTAATGGGGAAATGAAAATGCAAAAATATATATTTAAGAATTTTATAAATGTTAATTTATGGTATATGATGGTACTATTAGTAGTCGTTCATGATAACAGAACTGACTTTCAAAAAGACAAGAGGTATGTAGGATACAGTATAGGAAGAAAGGAAGTTAAGATAATATATTATTTTAGACGAATCTAACTCAAAATAATTTGAGTATTCAACAATATCAATATATATTATTATTAAGGAGTTGAACGAAGAAGCTGTGGCAAAAAGGACATTTTTAGTGAATGAATAACGATAAAGTCTTGTTTTTTTTAGATACTTCCTTTCTATGTAGTAATTCGTGCCGAACTCCCAAATAATTTTCCAGGCCTTTAAAAGTAGACTGATTCAAACAAAACCTATATACGGACCCATTTTCTTCGATACCGGCAAACTTCTAGCACTAATTACAACTTCACCATGGCATCCTGGCATAGAAATAGTACAAAACTTGTAATATCACCCTCTTGAAGCACTCAAATGGATCGGTATAGAGGTACCACTTACAATATGAAGCGAGAGAACCAAATCTTTCGTCTGGAATATTGTGCCATGGAAAACGTTTTAATATCTTATATAGGTAGCTACTTTCTATAAAAAAAAGAGCAAAAAGTATACTGCAACATCGTATTTTATACAATTTGAACTTATTTTTTTAAGTACTAATGGCATTTTGACTCGAGATTCCGACTATTAAAAAGGCATAGTATCAAAACCCTACGATAAATCGTCTTATCATACAAATTAATTACATCACTCACCTTTCCACCAACTTTGAGTGCATAGCCCATACCTTGGGGCGTCTTCAATTGCACCGGGCACACGAAACCGATATTACGATGCGGACTGTCTGCATAATTTTTCCGTGGCGTTACCTTCGGTATGCTACGCGTCGGTGTCGGCGTCGACGAAGTCGTATTCTCGGCAACACACAATGCCTCACCGCCACTTATGGGAAATTTCGAACATTCCAAATTCTCCGGCCAATTGAAATTATATGTTTTCATGAGTGTCTCACAAATACGCGCCGATTCACATAACGAACGACATGGTGGTATCGGTTGTTCGAGTATCGTACAAACGGGCACATACAAAGAGCAAAGGAATAATTGCAAATCGGGACTACAACCGATTTTAACGAGCGGCGCAAATTGATGTACTTCCAAACCGGCTTCCTCTTGCTTCGTATGACCAATTAAATTCGGCATTATTGTCATGTTGTAGGGTATATTTTTACATATGGAAATAGTGATCGGTTCACAACGATTATGATGCGGAAATGCATCACTTGTCATTGCCGATGAACTGATCATTTCACCCGATGCGGAGGTGCGGTAGTAGGGGCTAGCTTCGACGGGCGTTTGATCGTACCGATGCACCGCGCGTACGGTTGGCGTTGTGAGACAACAAGTGAACGCGACGATTATGGCACAGATTAGCCCGCTACAGTTACGAGTTGCCGTCGGCATTTTGCTTTGATGCGCGTACATTTTCGCGACGTAAGTGGGTGATGTAGAATTTTTAATGATGTGTGAATTTTGCAAAGGCTTTTTATTGTTGTATGTTTATTTGATTTATGTAAACTTTTTACTTATAAGTAAACGGCTCGATTTTAGAGGAACTTGCTGCAGTTGAACACTATTAGTGTGGTGTAAATAATATAATTAATTTTTATGCAATTCTAGAAACCTTTTACTCTTGCGGTGCATGCATTTTTACACACAATTCTTTCGTTGTCACTAAGTTTTATCAATTTTTATTATTTATGTTTGCAAAAAAAAACATTTTTACTTAATCGATTATTTTTTAAATTTTTTTTCAGTATAATATGTACATTCAATTTCAATTATTTTATTTTATACTTTTTAATCGAATTTCATTTTTAATTTATAGGCTTTATTTCATAATCTTTCTTTTGGTTTGGGCATGCTTCTGCTAGTGCAGCTTCGTAATAAAACTGTTGATCATTATTGGCTGAAAATATTCTGATTTTTTGAAGAGACACTCACAGTTTAATTGTGTACCAATTTTTTGTTGATTTCTGCAATTTGTTCCTACATTGTAATGTAAATTGATATCAAAATTTTATTGCTGAAATTTTTCCCAGTTTCCGTATTTAAATGCAAATGTTTTTCTTTCTATTAAAATAATAATAATCTTTAAATGGAAAGTAGTAGTTCAAACTTTGTTTCGAACACAATATTCAATTTACACGCACTTGTAATTATAGATTTTCATTTTTAGTAAATTTTTTTTTGCGTATTTTAATATATTTTTGATGTTTACACTATATGTTAAATATTTTTAAACAACTTTACTCAAATAGCGCTAATTTTATTAATTTTTTTAAATATTTTTCAGAGCATATTATTTATTTTCGAGCATATGGTGCAGGCTATTATTTATTTTAATCTTTTTGAAAGTAGTTTTTACAAATAATTCAACTTTCCACTTCACTTTCAAATTTTTTCACTTTGGAAGATTTATAATTTTATATATTTTGAGTAGTAAATTTAGTTGCATGTACTTATTACTTCACCTTTCGTTTGAAATATATTATATAATATTTAAGTTTTTGTTAGTAGTTTATTATATGCTACTTTCACAAATATAATATTTCAACGCTTTAGCGCCGATTCAAAACTTTTAGAAACACCTTTGGCTTCTGCGTGATGCTAATTCACTTTTCAATAATGGTTGCACTTGCTTTTATGATAAAATATACTCAAGTACTCATATATTTTCTCATATGATATCAAAATGGTATTATCTTTTTATCAACTTTAAGCATTTAAAACTTTTTCAATACAATTTTTGCATATAATAACTTGCACTTTTCAAAATTTATTGCATTTCAAAATTGCATAGATGCATACAAATATAAATATGCACCATCATACACATTCCACGTTCAAATTCACTATATTCGTCACGAACATCAGGCTTTTCCTGCTCTTAACCAAATTTGATTACTGTGGTATTACATTCCACAGCTGATGAATGTAAGTATTCCACCAAATATGCCAAAACTGCCCAATTATTATAAATATTTAATAAAAATTTTCAAAACTGCACAATTCTAGCATTCTTCCGATGGCACTGAGCAAATGCGGCATGCAGCCATTTGCTTTCTGTCAACTGCCGCAAACGGAAACCAACAACCGACGGGAAATAGTTTTCTTTTCGAACACGCACGCGAACTACAAAATTAATAACCAAACACGGCAAAAGTCGTTTCCGAACTAAACAGACCAGTTCAAATGCGCGCCGAACAAGCGGCAAGCGAAATGCATAAACAACGAATTGCGTGTAAACAGTAAAAGCGGCTAACTACATAATAGCAAGTTATTAACGCAAAGTTAGTGTAGTTGGTAAAGCAGAACGATGCATCACAATCGTATAACGAATAAAACCAAATTTTCACTTTATTTAGTGTCTTCAATCCACAGTTCGAACCCTTTATTATAAAATAATAAAACTATTTATTCAAAGTTATCTATTTTCATTATTTTCTTTATTACCTACTTACGTCGTTTTTTCATACCAGCGCCAACACTACTGCTTGCTCTCTTTCATTTAGTGGCTGAATAACTGAAGAGCACAGAAACGTGTATTTTGCGTTCATTTGCACGCTCTTGTTCAGGTACTCTCTTTTAAAACAAGCTCTTACATTAATGTCACTTCAGCTGTTCGACCTTGATTTAAGGGTTTTGTGGCTGTTTGAAAAGCAGGCGGCGGAAGCAAGCGTGAATGATTGTAGTAGAGTTTTTAAAATAAAGTAAATTGGAAATTGCACATTTCGTGAATATATATATATATGTATTTGAATGTGTAGAGGCTTTGCCTCTATTAATAATAATAATATTTAATATTTTTCTTATCGCTAATAAACTTGAGTTCAAATAGGGAAGCAAGTTCGTTAATACAACTATCTTCTATTTGTCTCGATCGACTGACGTTACCTTGATGTTGAACTTTTTTTTGTAGGCTAATGTAGGATTTTGGAAGATTCCCATTGCTTGCTCAGCATTTTTTCCAAAATTCGAGTCGCTAAACTATTTGAATGGTTAATTAGATATGTTGAGAATCGGTAAGTATAACTCTTCGCATTTTATCTCATCTAAACTCTTTGCTTTGGTGAGAAGGAACTACCAGCATTTTTATTTTGACTTGGATTAGATATCCTGACTGATACGCTTTAAGATTATTAAATAAATTCTACGCTCACTATATATTTCGCTCTCATTTTCTTTATACTTTGTGAGAATAGCCATTGCACTAGCTTTTACTATAAAAGGAAACTCATTCACCACTTCCAAGCCCTCCTACTTCTAACCGCATAACATTTTTTTACACCAACACAGCCAGGAACACACACAAAATCTCGCAACGCAGCCGACAACAAAATGCCGAAAGTTCGTTAACACGCGGTCCAACAATAGATAACAACAAAAACAACAAAAGCAATATATTAACAAAAGTAAAACATAACAAAATATGCAAACAGCGCGCAGACAACAACAATTTATCGAAAAAAGAGAGAGAACACAAACAAGCAATAGGCAACAAATACAATACAATAACAAAAGCAAGCAAAAGCTCCAACTCTACTCAAGCCGCAGCTAAACAATGGCGAACGCATGAATAGCAGAAGCTGGATCAATCTTACAAACACCGACACATAATATATAGGTGCATTCATGAGCTCGAAGACACTTTTAGTGCTGGCTCATTGTTATGTTTCACGTTTTGTTTATTTTCCTCGACCATTATTTGCCCTTACTTCGGTTATTTGTGTGTCTCCCAATGAAGCGAACTACTTACACGCAAAACAAAAACAAATAAGCGAAAAGAAAACACTCAACGCTGAAGGCAAAGTTAGTTGAAGAAGTGGTAAGGTTTGGCTTTGTTGGTAAGGTAATGCAGAAGACAACGCGCAAAATGCCGGCTAAACCGGTCCACAAGAACTTGGTACAAACAACAGCAGCCACTTGTGGGAGAGCGGTGTTTGTCGTAGTTGTGTTGAGTTGGCGGAATAAAGAGCGCAAGCGCTGGAAATGTTTGTGAGAACGCAATTTTGCGCTTAAATGAATTTTCACTCTTCGCTTGTGTTGTTTGTTTACAATTTGCTTTTGTTTGGTTTTGCAATCATTTATTTGCGGTAGAATGTCTTTACATTTACTCTTACTAAGTCAATATTTACCTACTTTTGTTGTTTATGTATTTCGCTTTTAATAAAAAATGTTGTGTTTAGCCCACTTTGTTGACGATTGTTTGGAATAACTTGTTTTAAGGTCTTCATAATTTCTAACACGGGATCAACTTTGAAAAAATAATGCCTAATCCACAGATTGTTTTGATCATACCAATGCATTTATAGGAATGCTCAAAATTTGGAAGAATGGAGAGGCTTCATTAAACCCATGGCTTCTAATAGTTCTAAAAGCTTGCCCCGTTTCACCTAGCACATAGGTTTTAAGATTTATCGTTCGTTCATGGTTTTAGGTATGCACTAACCCAGATCCGTAGCTAATTTCTTTTAGGTAAAGCTGTCTCCTGCATAGGTGCGAAACTTCACACGATTATACTAGAGTAGTATCTGCTAAATCTAAATTTGAATAGTAATTTTCTGCCAGAACTGCAAAGGAAATTTTAAAGTTGAGCATGAAATTTATGAGATAAGGCTTGCTTTAGCCTCAGAGACAATATGATCCTTTGAACATATTATGGCATTATTAGAAGCTTCCCAAAAAGCCGTGAAGTAAAAAATGCTGTCTCGAAAACTTAGCTCTTAGAGAAGTGATGGATTAGAACATTACTATAAGAAAATTAGGGTTATAATGCCCAACTTTATGCCTTGCACAGGATGTATTAAGCTTGCCACTAAGTTTGTAACACTCAGAAGGAAATATCGAAGACACTATAAACTATATACATAAATCATGAGCATGATGAGCTGAGTCGATTTATCCATGTCCGTCTGTCAATATATACGCGAACTAGTCTCTAAATTTTTAGACATTGATCAATTTTGCACACATCCTTTTCTCTCCAAGAAACTGTTCATTTGTCGTAACTGCCGACAAACTAAACGATTAAAGTCAAGTTCTTGTATGAAGAGCTGTTTTTATTTGACGAGATATATTCAAGAAATTTTACATGGATTATTGCCCAAGACAACGATTAAATTTCCTAACAAATTGTTCAGATCGTACCACTATAGCATATAGCTGCCATACAAATTAATCGATGAAAACAAAATTCTAACGACACTCCAACTGGCATTGCTAAGATCTACGCGTGGCTCATTAGCCAACCCGACTAATCTAACCTAAACTTTATGTCTGAAGTTTGGCTCTTGTAAATATATAGCGATCTGAGAGAGTCATTGGGAAATGACAGTTGTTGTTTTGGCATTATCTAAATTTGTTCTACCCAAACTTTACTGTTTTCTTTTTAAGATTATATCTAACTCTCTCGCGTCTGTCACATTAAATTTTTTCGACACGATTTGGTATTTTTTAATTGCTCTGCGAGTACTTAGTAATAAATAAAGTACATATACGTATTTATTTACAGATATACATATGTATATATACATATATATTGTATATTGCGCCTAAAACTCATTCGGTGTTAGTTTATAGGTTCGTTTGCCTTTAGCGAATTCGTTGTTCGCATTGTCACCTTTTAATGTCATTATTGACAGCAAACAAGTTTATCGCTGCTCGCCACAGTGAATTGCTCTGCTGACAGTGCGAGTGAGTGAGTAGACATATACATATGTACATATGTACATGTGTGCATATGTATGTATGGAAAAGTGAGTTGAAGCATTATACGCCGAGTGAGCTAGCTTGCTCAAAGCGAACGCTTGTGCGCAAGCGTGTAGTTATAAAGACGGCTGTATGAATTGTCGTGCACAGGAAGTGTCGCTTAAAGCTTGACCGCCTTTACTCAGTAAGCAATTAAGCGTAATTTTACTTTTCATCAAATGAAGTTATTAGTTACAATTGTATTTAGAGTTTTCTTTTTTATATTTTTTGCATTTTAAACTATGTAATGCTTTAATTATCTCGGATGAGTCTATTATGAAGATGAAGTCTATTAGTATTTTAATAACTTGTGGGCAATTGGTTTTCTATATAGCTCTAGTGAGAGTAATTTTTATTTGTATATTGTGGAAGAGGTAAGTAGGAAAGTGAGGAGGAAACGTAGTAACAT